AAGCAATTATCAGACAAACCGTCTAGACAGTGTATATTTCTGTGACGCTATTTTACAGTAAGTGTAATTACTGTACATGCATGCATATAAAGTATTTTAACTCAACGGTTACAGTAATAGATCTGGAGATTAACTAGATGTCGATGTAGACACGGTTAATAAGATGTAGACTAGTTTACAGTAATATGTCTTCATATTTACACGTAACCACATTTTTCGAAAAATCCTCGGCAAAAACCCGCTGTTATAAATTCCATAGCGTTTACAATCGCTAACTCTGTATAAGAAGCAGTAAACCGCTCATTATTTCGGAAAGATTTTCTCATATGAGCAAAGCAATACTCACAGGGGTTAAGTTCAGGACAGTATGGCGGCTGAAATATCAAGGTCACACCGTGTCGTAAAAGCAATTCACGCAAAACTGGCTCAACGTGGCGAGCGTGATGAAAGCCGCAATTGTCCATTACTACAGCATCACCTGCGGATAATATCGGGTTTCCGTTTGGGTACCTTTGCTCAAGAGCATCTGAAAAAAACTGAAGTAGTTCTAAACCATTGGACGGACCTTCCAAAACATCATAGTAATCTACGCCAAAAAAACCACATAACAAATTGATTGTAAAAGTAGCGTCAGAACTATACCGGCACACCTCGACAGCAAGCCAATATAATTGGGAAGCCAATATAAGCATGTCCATAAGTTCGATTTCCAGACGTACGAATGACACTTGCTTCGTCCATGAAATGTATGTGTCGTGCAGGAAATTCCGAAATCTCTTCAAAATATCGGTTTTGTTTCTCTATCGCAGCTGGTGTTAGGGACTCCACAGGTATAACTTCCAAACGCTTTCTTGTTAGATTTAGCTCCCATCTTATCGAATAAGCAATTGCACTGTTAGAAGGTGCATGGTTTTCATCAGAAACTCCCTGTCTAATCAGGCGATCTCTTATTTCCCTCGCATATATACTTGGTTTTTGTGTTTTGTACCATTCAATGTGTTCCAAAACATTGTCTGTTATCACCGAATGATCTTTTCCAGGAGGCAATTTTGCAGATATCGAATGGGTTTCGAAATATGAATTCAATATTTTTCTCACGCCTTCAACGCTCAGCTTGACATCATCGCTTATATCTTTCATGCTCTTGCCATCATAAAATAACAAAACAATACGTGATCTGATAATACTTGGAGTAGATTTTCCCCGAACGTAAGTTCCTCCTAAATTGTTGTGACGGATCATATTACGGATATTCTTGTGTAGATCACAATATATTTTACTTATTCAGGTACTTGTAATATACATAATGTACTTTTCAAATTTCGACGTTATCTAAATTTGAAAAGTGTTGTTTATCTAAATGTAAGCTCCTCATTGGTCAGTTGATTTTTATTTAAATCAAATAAGAATTGTGATTGGTCAATTTTCACAGGAAGTGTATGAATATCTCGAGGAACTTGATCAAATGAATTGGTCAGCCCGAGGTAATGTATTGAATCAATATTTTAGCAACACTTCAATTGGAACGACAGTAATAACTTCTTTTACCGATTCTTCATATCTTGCTTAGTTCTTGAAATATTTTCACTTGAAGTAACGAGATGTCAGCCATCTTGGATAACATTTTGATCTCATTAACGGTAGTTTTGGTGACGTCACAACAGGGATTAACCATACAAAAGTATTCGTTACTGACCAAATATTGATTGGTAGATGTTTTAAACGTTTCAAGTGATCTTGATATTTTCAGGAGCATACAGAGTATAATTTTGGGTGCAAAATGAGTAGTGGTTGTCTAGATAAAAATATTGCGTGACCCCTGTTGTGACGTAAAATGCATATCCACAAAATCCAAGATGGCGGACATTTCATTTCTTTCGATTAAAATATTTGTAGAAGTAAGCAAGATATGAAAAAACGGTAAAAGAGTTTTATATATGGTTTTAAATGTTCTTTCAAACGAGAAAATAAAAAAATATATTGCCATTTCCCTTTAAATTTTTAATGTGCTTCATATGCACTCAACGTTCTAGTGAGCTATACTACGAAAACTCGAAAAGTTACTGAGGCCTTGGCTAGAAACGTCGAGGTCAACGAAGTGTTTTCAATCTCATATTTGTCCACGTTTGAGATTAGTATATCTATTTATCTATTATAACTTTACTACACCACAACAGTATAAAAACCAATTACTGTGGACCCTATTTCACAAATATACTATATATAAACATATACAATTTCATTAACATAACTTTTAACATAACTTAATTTACAAGAACAAATACAACTATCAGGAGCAACAAGAGAGTGGAGTAGCAAGACTACGAGCAGCGTCCACTGGAAAAAAAAAAGTGAAATCATATCCATACTACGAAATTTGCAATTGCACCACAAAATCCATAGTATATCCATCCTATTTCCATACTATATCCATACTATGAAAATATACAATTATTATGGATAACCAAAATCCATTCTATTTCCAATAAAGGTCCATACAATTTCCATTCTCTATGACCTTCTATGGATTTTCAGATTTTTTCCAGTGGTTACATTTCAAGCAGCTGATTGATTTCCAAGTCCGGGGATTGTCAGATTCATATAGTTTATATTGATATAATACTCCAGTAGTGTAATATCTGTAAAGTAAATATTTGAATGTGGACAAGGAAAGAGACTGTTGTTTAAGTTCATTAGGAAGCATATTCCATATTCTTGTTGTTCTGTTTATGAAGGAGGTCTGGTAGGTTACAGTCTTGCATTTCGTAGTACGGAACAAGATTTATGAGACATAATACAAGTTGCTGATAGCAAATTTCTGGGCAATCAAGCCTATAATCCGATTTTGCTCAAGAAATAGAAAATTCTTTGTTGTTACAAAGTGTTCACTTCAAAGTGAATTGTCAGTTTCATTATATGCATAATTTACTACTGTAGACAAAAATTAAACCGTGCATTAATATACCTTACCTTGACTAATGGTTCGTAATAGTTGTAATCGATATTAACCACTAAATTCTGAGGCTGGATCAATTTTGTAACGTTATTTAGTTGACAGTTTTTTGAAGAATCGTGATTGTGTCTTGATTTGTAATTGATTGATTTGCAGGTAGAGATTTTTCTTACACAGTATTGCACACATTCTGTGACACTTGTTGTTTTGTGTTGGTGGTGACCTAGAAAAAACACAAACAGGTAAATCAACGACGATTGAATTGGGGGGGAGGAAAGAGGGGCGATGTCTCCTTTTGTCAGGGCCAAAGGAGCCGGTATCGGGATTCGTTCAACACTTGAAAGTCTTTCAACTTGAAAACAAAAATTCAAGACCATGAAACACCTTATTAGTCTAGGACCTGTATATGAGTTTGTATGCATTTCATTTAGGACAGATAATCTCAACTGTTTTAGGGTAAGTTGACCATGACGGTCAACATGGTAACGCTGCCCGAACCCCAATCCGGGGCGAAACGTCCGAAACTGACCACACCCAAAAACGACGCCTTCGCCATACTGCTATCTACCAAACCATAAGAGCTTTGGCTATTCTGAGGTGCTTATATGGTTCAGAGATGGTACTTTTGGGGGTGGTCATTGGTAAGTGTGAAATGCCTAGCACTAATATTTCACAAGAAAATGGCCATGCAATAATCATAGTTAAACGTCAATTTGTGGCTTGCAAATTCAGATAAACAGCAGTGGACTTACATTACCTTTTTCCCTAAATCTTTTTGATAGAAACATAAATGGTACTTATTTAAATATATTATCACTGGTTTGGTGTAAAATAGTTAATATTTTCTGACCGAAATAATAATTCGAAATGTGCCTACCTCCTGCAAATGGACGTATTTGGCCAAGTTCTCCACTTTACTCCGCTGTTTATCGGCGATCTCGTCGACATCCTACAAAAAATGTAAATCATCTCAGACATAATGGTATCAAGAACATTTTAAACAAGTTTCAACTTGGTTTCAAGTAGATCATACCTGTTTAACCATCGACAAGGTAAATCCACAACTTTGTCCAAATTCGGCGCCATTTTGTCATCCCATGTCGCTTGTTAACAATTCAGTCTTGTTACTCTTCCATCCAAGCCATTTCCATTCCACTAATAATAAATTTAACCCTTTATAACAGGAGGAAACTAAAAAATCTAAACAAAATACAAGAAATACGCCATTTTATCACCATGTAAAATGTTGTTTACGAGTCCTTCAAAACATTCCGTACAAATCTCGCGTGGTTTAGCAACAGGGACGTGACAGGGGGGTAGGGACTTGAAAATGAAAGGAAAGCCCACACAGTATGGTAAAACCAACAATCAACATTTAATTTGTATGACTTTATGTTTATAATAAATAATAATATGTATATATTTGTCGCTACAAGAAATAAAACAAACATTTGTATGATTGTATTTAGCTTTTAGTCTATTTCACGCAGCCTTCTATCTTCGTGAAATAATTCACCCCCTTCTGTCACGTCCCTGTTACTTTGTCACGCGATATTTGTACGGAATGTTTTGAAAGACTCGTGAGCAAAATTTTACATGGTGATAAAATGGCGTATTTCTTATATTTTGTTTAGATTTTTAGTTTCTTCCTGTTATAAAGGGTTAAATTTATTATTAGTGGAATGGAAATGGCTTGGATGGAAGAGTAACAAGGCTGAATTGTTAACAAGCGACATGGGATGACAAAATGGCGCCGAATTTGGACAAAGTTGTGGATTTACCTTGTCGATGGTTAAACAGGTATGATCTACTTGAAACCAAGTTGAAACTTGTTTAAATGTTCTTGATACCATTATGTCTAAGATGATTTACATTTTTTGTAGGATGTCGACGAGATCGCCGATAAACAGCGGAGTAAAGTGGAGAACTTGGCCAAATATGTCCATTTGCAGGAGGTAGGCACATTTCGAATTATTATTTCGGTCAGAAAATATTAACTATCTTACACCAAACCAGTGATAATATATTTAAATAAGTACCATTTATGTTTCTATCAGAAAGATTTAGGGAAAAAGGTAATGTAAGTCCACTGCTGTTTATCTGAATTTGCAAGCCACAAATTGACGTTTAACTATGATTATTGCATGGCCATTTTCTTGTAAAATATTAGTGCTAGGCATTTCACACTTACCAATGACCACCCCCAAAAGTACCATCTCTGAACCATAGAAGCACCTCAGAATAGCCAAAGCTTTTATGGTTTGGTAGATAGCAGTATGGCGAAAGCGTCGTTTTTGGGTGTGGTCAGTTTCGGACGTTTCGCCCCGGATTGGGGTTCGGGCAGCGTTACCATGTTGACCGTCATGGTCAACTTACCCTAAAACAGTTGAGATTATCTGTCCTAAATGAAATGCATACAAACTCATATACAGGTCCTAGACTATAGATAATATTTATAGTTATTTACAGGAAGACTTCATAATCACTGTATGACACATATATTAGGTAGTAATTAGAATGTTGTAAGTTATATGCTATTAACAACAAAAACGACAATAACAACAACAACAACAACAACAACAACAACAACAACAACAACAACAACAACAACAACAACAACAACAACAACAACAACAACAACAACAACAACAACAACAACAACAACAACAACAACAACAACAACAACAACAACAACAACAACACTAAGACTACAAAACGAACATATAGTACAATACAAACGATTCAAAACGATACCAATTAGCTACATTAAGTGACTTAATTGAAGGCATGGCAAGTGTTTTGAAACTGGGGGTTGATTGGCAAAGATTGTTAAATGGGATGTGATTCCAGGTAACGATTGTTCTTGGATAAAATTAAAACTTGTATACATTGACACACGATTGTATTTGGCGGTAAGGACAGCTATTAGGCAGCCTGAATGCTCTAGTCAAAGGACACACGTCATCAGGAAGATTGATTCCAACAAGGCCTTGATGGATCTTGAAGAACATAGTGGCTTGGTGTAGCAGTCGCCGTTGTTGGGGATTGTCCCAACCCAGGTGGTCAATCATTGGAGAGACGTGGCTTGGCAAGGTATTGTGGCAAGGTGCTATGAAATAATTGACATACATATTCTAAGACCGACCTTATGCAGCTACAATAAAAGTTGACCAAGTCTGCGTTCGCCACATCAGCACGTTTAAGTTGCCTTAATAGATACAAGCGCTTTGATGCTTTCGAAGTAACTATCATTTATCATTTCGCTCCACGTACGATCCTGCATGCTTTTAACTTAATTGGCCATATAAGGTGCGATTATAGCTTTTATAGAGGGGTATTGGGGCCTGTAGAATCGATACCATCAAACTTCCTTTGGCTGAGCATACATGTACTTCCGGTTTGGGCACACTTTCGTTTCAGGAAAAGTTTGCCTTGTGTCCAACGCGTAGAGTCAGACAGTCCAAGTACGGCGAAATACTTTGCAGTAGTGACTATAGTTTAGCTCTTTTTTCCTTTCTCCATTGTATGCGGAAAAATTTCTCGGCATATTGGACACTGCATTCTGAAAGAATAAAAGTTAGTTTTTACGATTTAGATTCCAGATTTAAAACGCTTCATTCGCTCATATGATATATCAATCAGCTAGTCTAAACTGTATACTTCCTAGATGTCCAGTAAGAGCAATGCCTTATCAGTTCAGTGTTAACAAACAGGAGGAAAGAAGAGTATCTGAAGAGCCAAACTGAAAGCATGAAGTGGCAGAATAGCAGTTACAGGGTCTGTAGGCTAGGTGAAATTCGCGGGCCTTGAGAATGACATTCCCATGCACATTCTGCTGACTCCGTTTGACGATAACGAACGTGTACATGCAACAGCGTCGGCGCTCATAAATTTCTGGACCATTGCAATCTACTGAGGTTTAGCCCGCGTGCAGGCCCAAGGGAAGAATAGTGGGCTAACTAGGTTAAGGTTATTAATAGTTTACTAATAGGTTACTAATAGGTTCAGCTGAAGTTGTCGACAGGGCCGCCGAGAGCTTGGCGGGGGCCCAGGGCAAATTTTTTTAGGGACCCCTATTTCAAACTTTTCTCAAACAACCCCCCCCCCCCCAGACAACTTTTTAGGTAAAGCGGACGAGTACGTTGTATTGGTTGTAAATTGTAATTGCTTTCCAGCGACTTTACCTCAAATTTTCATACCAAATTTCGGTACTTTGCCAAAAAAACCAAATATCTTGCCCTTCGCGCGGAATTATTTCACCCAAAAAAATGACTGGGCCCAACAAAAAAATTCTAAGGAGCCCGGGGCAATTCCTTCCTTGCCCCCCCCCCCCTCTGCGGCCCTGGTTGTCGATGTTTGCGCTCCTACCGTTCCTTTATTTTTTTGAAAAAGTTAGCGGAAATGTCCACTCATTGTGGCAATGATTCATGAGTGTTGAATATTGCGCAGTTAAATTACTTGTAGGCGTTACGGCATAGGCGTACGATGCTGATATTTTCCAGTGGGGGGAGAGTTGAAAGTTTACCCAAATTTTTTTGAGCCCAAATTTTCTTGATTTTTCCTAGCATTTACCCGAATTTCCATGGTTTTCCAAAATTTGGGGGGTGGGGTGCATACGCTTGTGGCTTCGTACGCTTGTGCGTTACGGTAAAGGTGCTGACTCATGAAAACCAAGGAACTTGTAGTTTTTATATAAGAGCTATATTAATATTTCATTACTTGAAAGCCCGGACCTGTAGGCTTTAGCCTACTCAGTCTACCGCTGAAAGGATTAACCCTCTCACATGAAACTTATAATTATAACAAGACAACTTGTTACAGGAAAGGAAACCCAATCAGAGACAAAATCTACATAAAAGCTAATATATACATACGTTTCGCCTTTCTTCAACTGATTTACACATTCTTTATGAACTTTGTGGGAGCAAGGTAGTATTTGACATCCCGTAAATGCATCCTGGTAAAAAGATATATATTCAAATTATTTTATAGTAGTATGCTTGAACCATATAACATTACATAGGTTTACTTGAGTTGATTGCGCTGAACTTACTTCGAAACAGATGCAACACGCATCATGGGCAGATCCTGCACGACATTTGTGATTTCCACGAAGATTAATATCCAAGCACACACCACAGGTATCGCAATGAAACGAGCGATCTCCATGTACCCTATACCAGAAGGAAAAATATTATGATTTCCTATACTTCAGAAAAAAACCTGTGGGAAATCTCTAAAATACGCCATAGTCAAAACGTCGTGTTTACCAGGTGTTAAAATGCATTTAAATAACCTGTAAACCCATCGTTGTGCTTATTTGCATTAGGGTTGGCACATGAAAAGTTCATCATTTCAATTAAACCTATGCAGTCGTGATTCTCTTTTGATCTACCTGAAAAAATATTTAAACACTTCATGCATATCAACACTACGGCAGTTTTTAATTAAGGGACTTTGGCTTTAAAAAATAGTTAAGTTTATTTGAAAGAACTCTTAAAACTATATAATATTAACTCTATTATATTACATATTGTTTATATCTTGCTTAGTTAACGTTTCAAAATATTTCGACGAAAAAAGTGAGCTGTTCGCCATTTTGGATTAATGAGGATATGCATTACGTCAAGAGAGGGGTTACGCAAATTTTTTATCTCGAGAATGAGGGATTATTATGTGTCCAAAACGTCGTTTCTGGTTGCTGTTTGAAATGTGGAAATGATAAAAAACATTTCGAACAATTTTGGATTTTATTCGCTTATTTTTTAATAGTTTATACTTTTATATGGTTAATCCAACTCCTGAAGTCATCAAAACCATAGTTAATGAGGTCAAGGATTAGTCCAAGATGGCGGACAGCTCATTCATTTCGGTCTACGTATTTTGAGAGCTACAAGCAAGATATGAAAAGTCAGTGAAGAGTTTAATATATAGTTTTAGTAGTTCTTTTGAATAAGACAAACTAATTTTTTATTGCCAATGTCCTTTAGGGAGCACTTCCTGCACTTTTGAGATACATTTTTAGCTACCCGGCATGCAGCGGCAAAGAAAGAAATCAAACATATAAAACTCAGGTACAAGTATGGCGGTGTCACAATTTGTTAAGGTGTTTTGTAGTTGCAAATTTAGAGTCCAAATTTTATGGATTTTCGGACCTACAATAATCCCTCACGAGCATAAAGCATTGGCATTGCACAGCATATAACTGACGAACTCATGTGAAAGTACGGACTCATGCGAAAAGAGTCAGTCAGCGCTTTGCCGAAAGTCGCGGGTTTTCACCGGGTGCTCCGGTTTCCTTCCACAAGGAAAGTTGACAGGGTGTGTTAGCATAAACACGTTAAGAAAGTAATATCATAATTGTTGTAAAGGCAAAATGGTGTAGGCTAAGTAAGTAATTAGGTAAGCGTAATACTTGATGTAATGTGCATTTGATCACATCGAATTTTGTATACAGCTATTTCAATTAAGATCGTCCCCGAGCAAATCGGAAAAGTCGAATACGAACGCGAAAAGCTTGCTGGGAATTGCTAAGAATTAATGATTTTGCTAGCGATTCCTAGCAAGCCTTTCGCGCACGTATTCGACTTTTCCGCTTTGCTCGGGGACAACCTTAATTGAAATAGCTGTATACTCGAGAAACAAGTGGAATGCGAAAGTACTTACCTACAGATACCACATTTTTCACAATGAAATGGGTGATTCTGCTTTCCAGTCAAATGATGACACATTGGACAGAAATACTCAGCAAACTTCAAGTTACATTCCACACAATTTGGTGACTCTTTTGGGAAACCTTGTACTTTACCACACCTGCAACATTGCAATTTCTTTATATCACGAGATCTCAGTTTTCTTTCACCACACTGACTCGTTGCGTTATGACAACGGTGACAGGGCCAGAAATGTTCACAACAAGCAAACTGAGCATTACAATATCGATCATAATGCTCACAAGCATATTGTCTTTTCATCATCCATGCTCGAGTCTCCTCCACATTTTCACCTTCGGGAAATGTATCGTCCTCACTTCTACCCTGAAGAAGTGAACCCTGAGCATTTGCACCCTGGGGAGGTGTATCCTGCTCGTTTTCACCACTGGAAGGTGTATCCTCCGTATTTTGACCCTGGGGGGATGTACCCTCGGAATTTGTACTCCATGGAGTTAAACCATCAGAATTTGTACTCTGGATAGATACATCGTCTGTATTTATAGTTTCAGCAGAAGTATCTTCTTCGTTGTTTAATACGTTCTCGGGGGTTTGCTCCTGGTTACGAGTACCTTCCTCTATCTGTTCCTGTACAGGGTAAGGTGTGGATGGTGTAGTACGTTGAGATACATTACGGTATCTTCTTTGTAAGGGCCTGTCGATCCTTGCATCACTATTACCAGTCATATTACGTGGAGATCTTGCTATTAGTCCATCTGTCATGATTACCTCACGCACTTGACTTGAAGAGGACTGGGTTTGAGCTGCAGAGGAAGACCATAAACTTCTTTGGTCAACAATACTGTCATTTCTTCTTGTATCTAGAGTCAAATCGCGCATCTGACGTACATACGGCTGGGTTCTGCTTCCCAAATTGTTATCGTCGCTACGATTTCTAACTGTATCAAGACTCAGTAAACTATAGTCGCCCTCTTGAATACAGTCCAGTAAATGAACGAGATCAACACGTCCGATTTCATAAAATCCATTTCTTATGTATTCAGTATTTCTAATTTGTATCATACTACGGTTTTCTAGTTCTTGGAAAAAGTCGATGTTGTTTGCGATATTTCCAAGAACTCTTAGAGGAATGTTACGAGCGACATAACGACGTAGTTCCGTCCAGTTAGAAGGAGTCAAACGCACCACGATGCACTGTAGTAGGGTACGCAAAGGAATTGAACCGCCAGATTCATTATTATTTGTTGTAATAGTTCTAAATGCCGACCCTGGCGAGTCCTTGCCATCGTCAGCAGTCCCGCAGTGTTTATGCACCAAAGTATTCACATTTTTTAATATCTTACGTTTTTGATAAACTATCTCGTTCATCTCCTTAAAGAATTCTTCCTGATTGGTTATATGTGACGTAATGACGGTTTTCACATCATTTTCTGTTTCACCCAAAGGAACTCTAGTGTTTAATATACTGGCTACATCATTGTTTAATTTTATAAGTTGCCCAACAAGAATTTCAAGTTGGTTAAAATCTTCAACAGGGATACTGGTTTTCTCGTCGGTTATGAAAAGATGAGTTTTCCCATGACATAACCAAAAGCATACCCACTGGTCAGTGCTCGCTGACTTTAAAATATTTCTTAATATTGAGAAAGTTTTGAAACAATCACAGGAGTCAAAGCTTACAGCAGACGCTTTTCCACTGCTTGAAATGGTATCAGATGATAAAAAAGTTTGATATATTGATAATACAAAACAATCCAAGCACTTAATATCCAACGATTTCGACAGATCACGGTTTACAAACAAGATATTGTTATCATGTTTTGTTACACATTTCAATTTTTGTTGCTGTAACTTATTTATATTCTCTTGAATAATAATGATCCAGGACTGTTCTCCTCTAAAACTCTTTAGGTTTAGTGGTAGAATAATAAAGTGGCATTGGTTAGGTTTTAACTCTTCTGCAAATTCAAATGACTCCTGACTTGTAGTAGTACCAGTTGCTTCATTTTCTTCCATATTATGCACTGTTTGCCAAATTAACTTTAAATTTACCTTCAAAAAATGTTAAAAACCAATCACAACGTAATTTTATTTCGTCACGATGAGTGCACGTGCATGCCCGTGTTTTAAATGATGACAGAAGTGAACATGATAATAATAAACAATTATTGAATGCAGTGGCGTAACCTTCTGCGGCCCCCCGTAAAATTTTTAACTGGGGCCCTATTTTTTCCCAGAAAAAGTTGGCGAGCTTGAGTATGATATCGAGAATTATCAAGGCCGAGGTTTGTGTTATCTACCAATTCCGAAGGCTGAGGCGTATAACACAAACCGAGGCCTAGGTAATTAAATTTTGCCTTTCAATAAAATATCAAATATAATATACGGATAGAAATACAATTCCCAACATTCATAATACTACGAGTTTTCCTTTGAAATTTCGAAACTTAATTGCAATGCCAATGATAGTTTATTTAATTACAGTGCGGAAACAAGAAAGGTTGACATTAGTAATTATTGTTGCATGATAGTTGCTGGCCATCATTGCTCTTGCTCAGGCTCGCCCCACGATGCTTAGCATCTCCCCAGTATATCAACTACTGCCTGATGTACTTGACTACTACCTATCCAAAACAACGCACGCACGTCAAACAGAGAGGCGTTCTACTGCTATTGTCATCTCATCTTTAAACGCTCTTATGCTAGACCAAGTAAACAAACTAGTATGAATTTTATAAAATGTTATTTTGACTGTTTTGACAAAAGGTTTTGACAGATGGGATTAATGGGAACGTGTTACTTCCAATTAATATATAATCTTCGTTCACTGTACAAAATACACGCACGCCATTGGTCAAAATCGATCACGTGTGTTTTTGTTACCTGGCAACAACGAATTCTGCGAGTGCATTATGGACAATAACGCATAAAAAACGTGTATTATTGAAAATGGCTTCCCGCAAGGCTGTCGGTTCAAGGTTTACACGAGTCAGTCAAGACGAAATTAATCAAATTGTACATAATGCAGTGTCTAAAAGTATAAAAAGCCAAACAAACTGGTGCATTGTCATCTTTCAAGGTGAATAAACGAAGCAAAAACTGACTTTTCACGATTTTGTCGTGTGTAAAATTCCTGCATGCTTAAAAAGTCTAATCGGGTTTTTCATTGTATTCGTTGTCTTGTTTTAAAAACAGTTGTACGCAATTATTTTGCAATGCACTTAAAATTAGACTACAGTATTGGTAAAAACTTATGATGAAAATGTGTTAATAAATGTTCTTTTCCAAACTGGAATTGCTTTGTTTTAATTTAATTTTGTTTCGTTTTGTTTTGTTTTGTTTTGTTTTGTTTTGTTTTGTTTTGTTTACAAAAGGCGTACAGTATAATTGCATGCAAGCAGTGAACTCAGATAATATATTAAATGGGTTAGGGACTTTAAGTTCGTGTTTTGTTTACAAGTACATGCACTTGCTGACTGTTCAAAGAACTCGAAATTTTCAATACTGCACTCGGCTTCGCCTCGTCCAGTATTGAAAATTTCTCGTTCATTGTACAGTCAGCTCGTGCATGTTATTTGTAAACAAAACACTCACATCAGTCTCTAACCCTTAATTATCAGCCAATCATCTCATATCCGGTATTGGCACAATAACCTTCGTTGTGGCCAATCAGATGCCAGTTTGATTAGAATTTTGCCAGAGCCCTTCGTCGCGCTCCGATGACCGCGCGTAAGAAGGGCTCTGGGTACGAGAATGCAAACAATGCACCGCTCCGGGGCTCGGTAACCACAGCGTGCAACAATACTTTTTTGGACCGAACGTCGGTCCAAAAAAGTATTAGAGACCTTACGATTTCAGAACGCCAACCACGACGGCGACGGCTGAAACAAACTCCTTCAAATAAATGGTAGTCGATAGTTCGTCATATATTATCAATCGTATGAATTTAATGCCGTCTTAGAAGTTGAAGACATGGGTTTTATGGTTGGGAAGAGTTCTGCTAAACCCAGTTTGAAGTTGCACTTGTTGTCTCTTGGAATGCCGCTGTTGTATCAACACGTGAAAATCTGTGATTTGGCGTTGTAAACAGAGCGAGGACAATGTCTAAATTATTCATTTATTGTAATTACTCAATTCTTCTCAATGATCTATTGTATTGGTAGCCGTTGCCGTCGCGGTTGCCGTCCTAAAATCGTAAGGTCTCTATTATTGCACGCTGATGGCGTCAGCAAGAAAACGGCTTTTTATCCGACGCGTTTTGAACAATCACGAACAAGAATAGACTTTGGAACAAACTAATAATGATAGCCTACTCTAAATGAGTTCCAGAAATTGTCAGAACATCATAATTGGATTTTACAAGTATAACCATTGGTCACGCCATTACGTAAGTAAAAATATGATAATTAGATTCATTATATATCAATAGTCAAAGTCGCATTTTTCTAGTGTTTTATTGGTTGAGAGCATATCACGTGAGAGTGACGAAATTAAGCCCGTTCTCCACTAGGCGAATTTGTTCGCGCGAACAGTAAAAAAGTAGGAACTGATCCAACTTTTTCGCGGCGATTTTTTTCGCTGACCAATCACATTGCCAAGATTTGTTTTACGATTCGCGTCGCGCGAAAAAATTCGCCTAGTGGAGAACGGGCTTTAGGCTGTCTCCCTCGCAACAGCGCAAGAGGGCAACAATACGTTATCGACCGGCGAATAACAAAAAAATCACGTGCGCCATCACGTGAAGATGCGACCTTTAGACATGCCTAGTACGTAATTAAAACTTTCGCTTTAAGTAACTGCAGTGTAGCCGGTGTTTAATATAACGTTTTAACAATAAAATATTTCATGTATTTACGTTCATTTGTTCTTTAATTTGTTGTTTCTTTGACTATTGATATATAATAAAACACTTATTTACTGAGACCTCGGGAAAGCAGTGTGTTTTGTGGACCCTCGACCGTCGATGTTTCCCTCGGCTTCGCCTCGTGAAACATCGACGGTCTCGGGTCCACAAAACACACTGTTTCCCTCGATCTGAGTAAATAAGTGATAAATAGAGAACGAAGAATTTATTTTGCAAAGATTATTTGCAACTCTAAGATGAGCGAGCTTTGTCTTGCAGAATTAGTTCCAAGATTTGAACATATATGTTTGATATGAACAGAAACAACGAGTTTAATCATCAATATGTTTTCATGTTGTTTTATTATGTCATAGAGTTGCTTGGATAACGGCCTTCATTCGAAAGATGTTTTGATTAAAATGACTGACTAAGAGATTCCAATGCATGAAGAAAGGATTTTCCCCCATCGCCGAGCCAACGGCGCGTAAGCTCGGGGCGAGGTTACTAATTCCGCCCGACTATTTACAACGGGGAAAGGAAAGGAAAGCAAAGTCTAATGTTCATCAAAATTCCCGGGCGTGGTCGTCCTCACCGATCTCAAAATATAGCGGACTGTCATGAATAGCGAACACTGATTGGTCCAATTTAAAATTTGCATTATAACGACCGCATGACGACATCGAAATAGCAAACATTTTTTGATTTAATGATTTATATATTTCATTTTTGCAAGATTTTGTAAATTTCAAAAGATTTTTGAGAAAAAAAGCGAAACAACTTCTAAAAGCGGGAGCAAAGCCGCCGACGTTAACGAAGCTAAGTTTGTTTTAAATATGGATGTATATTACTTGCTTTATAATTAAATTGCTTTAAAAAGCTGATCGTTGCCTACATTTATATATAAATATATATATATATATATATATATATATATATATATATATATATATATATATATATATATATATATATATATATATATATATATAATTTCGCAAAATATACACGAGCGCGAAGCGCGGGTGTTTTCATACATTGTTTTCGAGTGTTTGGATATCCCGGTGAGACACGAGCTCGAGTTGTTTATATGGCTTCTCAAATGAATCGAGACGTAACAGAATGTTTTCGTTTGCTGATTTGAATAGAATTCTTAACCAAGCATAACGTAATTAGGAATTCTTTTCAAGTAATTTTGCATGCGTAATTAAGATATTTGATGAAAACACTAGTGACTTTCATCAAGTATCCAAATGGCATCTTGTGATCAAATAGGTGATTATCATTGGCATGGCTGAATTACTCATGAATTATTAATGAATTTGAGAAGCTTATATCATGCACGTATATAATAACATGCTTAACATATATCTGTTTGGGAAATTGATAATTTTGTAATTAAAAGTGATATTTTAGGGGATTTTTCAATTGTAAAAATATTCTTTATTAAATTATCGTGCTACCACGACTGAATATTAAGCAAGGGGAGGGTTTCTGCATGCATGTATTTTCTGTTATGTATTATATTTATCTCATATTTTGATATTTCCATTCATGCAAACGATCAAATATATGTATCAAAACATATTTACATGTATTTTAAGTTTCTGGCAAGATGCTCGAATATTATATTTTGAGATTCATACCTGAAAGAGCCAAGAAACGTCAACTTTTCTTGCTGCACCTAATACTTTATTTTTCAATATCTACGTTATTCACCATCTCATCTTTCATTGTGATGATGAAGAATTGCGCATGAATATATGTGGGAAGCAAATATGCTTTGTAACATGCGTTCCAGAATTGCGTACTGATAATTAGCCAAGCAGTTGCTTGAACAGTTTGACACAGGCCAGGTTATGACGTGCTTATAGCTGGGTATATTACCTAGCTGTAACTATGTATTGGTAAATTATCTGATCAGAATTTTGAACATCTCACTTGACAGAATTGAACTAATTGTTGAAGGATTTCAATTCCTGCCAGAGGGACTGTAGAGTTGCATTTTCGCAACTGCATGGTTTCAGTCTACTGAAATTATAATAAATATATAAAATTTACATCCGAAATTTCCATGAACAACCCCCTCCAACAATTAGTTCTATTTAGGCTAAGTGAGAAGGCTCAAATTCTGATATTTATACCCATACACGTTACACTGGCATCACCTTATGGTATAATTATATACATCACCGAACTTGCGGTTAGAGCTCGAGAAAATTACTGTTTCCCAAAAAGATCACTGCCATTGGCATTGTGCAAATATATATCTTCAATAGCACGCATATACTTAGGACACTGAACTGTATTTGATTCAGGCTGGGTAAATATTCCCTCTTGTTTAATTCTAAGTAATAGAGCAAAGGGTCATTATGTTTATTTCCCAAACTGGTTTGACATATTTTTACAATTGGCCAATCACATACGAGATTCAAATTCTGAACCTAATCAAGTGCGGAAGTGGCATTTGCAACCGATGTGACCAGAGGCTCTTCCTTAAACTCGCCTCTCATTTCTTTCGCCTCCCAAAGAGCCTCTAGAACCAGGGGTCCATGGTACTTATTTCCAGGCATGCAGTGTAACATTCCACAACATCTATAAAATCAGCTCAGGAATTAATATAGATTTCGAAATCTCTCACGCCATGCCGTATCCATCAGTATGTATATGACTTCTAAGAATAATTATTAAGTTAGCATTTTCAATTATAACGGCTGATGAATTCAGCCTTTTGCCCACCCTTTGCCTGATTCAGCCAAACTAGCCCACGCACGTTTCTAGATCTATCTTTCGAAGAGGAGGACATCAATTTGAGAGCAGCAGAATTAATTAGGTATCTTTATGTGTACGTTTCTAACCCTTGTTCCAGAGGCTCTTCACAAAAGCTGAAAAAGTCTATTTCTTTTTAGTTGTTTAATAAACCCATTTAATTTGCTAGCCTCTGAGTATGTAAACGTCCATTGCAAAACACAAAGAGCTAGTCCGAATAGACATATTAAACAAACATATATGTTCTAAACTTCGATGTATAGTACTTAGTCTTAGATTAACCATATTTGAAGGACAACCTAGTACTCTGGTTTACAACTACTGTCAGTTATAACTTACCGTTCAGAAGCAATCTTCGATCCTTTTATGTTGATGATATTCTAATATATAATTCCCTTTATGCACAATACAAGTTTATCTACACTCTACTCCTGCAAAGGCTTGAAACCGAAAGAAATGCTGACGCGATTTTATGTCTTATATAGAAGCAGCTTCAAAATCAGGGAATTTCCCTTTTATATTGGGAAATCACCGAGTATTTCTTTCACAATTTTAAAGTCATGCTTATTGATGCCCAAGACTGCGAAATATTTAGCCATTGAACAAAAATGTGTTTATTGTAGTATGATGAAGAAAATTTATTACGAACCGTGTCAAAAAAGTAAAATTTTAAACCATTTTGTTGATTTAAGATACTGAGGGATTTCCCCGTTTGTTTTACCGTAAAATATTCATAGTTAGTTTTTTCAATTAAAATATTTAAAGGACAATGGCAACAAATTTTTTTATTGTCTATATTAAAAGTGTTGCTTCATCTAACTATAAATATGATACTAATACCGTGTCAAACATTTTTGTTATATGCGTGTTATTTCACTGTTAATTTATATATTGTCGGCCATCTTGGCTCGTATTTGCGAAAAATTATTTTTTAATTTGGCTAATATGACCCGTATGACGTAGATGGCAGGGTAGAATCAAAACAACAATATATTTTTGTATAGCGTGTATCGAGATTTAATACGTTTTCTCAAAAAATTAATGCTTTTGAGTCATTTTAATGGAAAATATTCACGAGAACCAAGTAGGAGAAGTGTTATCATACCAATATGAACCAGAAGTAGGAGAAAAACAAGCAATATTTTAATTTTGGAATAGGTTTAAAGTCTTTAATAGGACTGCTGTGCTGAATGGTTATATTAGCCTACTACCTTAAAAAATAAGCAGAAACTCTTTTAAGAAACTTTTTAAGGTAGAAACTTTTTTAAGGTAGTAATATAACCATTCAGCACAGCATTTCTACATTGGTACTACCTATACACTGGTACCGACAGCTTTAATAAATATAGGACCTCTGCATGCGTCTTGGACCTTTGGTTTGTGGTTTACTTATAATCATTTATTTAATGGATTTCTTTTATTTTCACTGAACGGTGTATTGAATGTAGACCATGCCGTTAAATATTGTATATTATGTGCACGCGTATAATGACTATAATGTGTGCCGCGTGCGCTGTTTTGTGTCTTTTTATGTCAATCCATTGTAGAAATAGTATACCGCAATTGAAGATAGTATGTACTGTAAGTAAAGTTATTACTTGGCAACGCTTCCCTTTTCAATTGTATTCTAAACGTTTCATTGCACTGTATTCGTTTTAAAAACTTTGGCGATTGTCCTTGTTCATACGCATCTTCGGCAAAATGAAGTGAGCATATATTCTAGTCACATCGTGATTCGTGGCGACGATGGTTTAATGTTTTGCGCTTATATAGAATTCAATCCACGCTTTTCTCATATATTGCTGATCTACCGATTTGCCCTTTGGAAAATTGAAGAAACAGATTTCACTTGTGTGTTGGCTGTCACTATTACAACCGTAGACGGCAATACATGTTTTGCAGTGCACCTTCTACGTTTTACATGAACAATCTAGATATTTTCGCTATTCAAGCCGTACTCAGAGCTGACTATAGATAATATTTGCAATTTCGGTAATATATATATTCCCACACGTGAATTTAGGGTATTTTACATAACAATGAAAATATTGATAATATTGGGAACTATATTATACACTACAGTACATGCATATATTTACCTATATAAAATGAGAACCAAGTAAAACTCCATGTAAAAATACATCACAACATATAACCAGATTATATAGTTATTTTACAAATTTTAACAGTCGTCCGCCATCTTGGGAAAATTCCGTGTATGCTAATTTATGCATGAATACATTTCGTGACGTGATGGCAGGGTAAACGCAAATCTCACAGTATAAGTTACACTGTAACAACGTTGAGATTTGGAAGAAAATGTTTACAAAACAAATACGTTGCAACGTGTATTCATAGTTCAATAATGTGTAGCAGCTTACTACCAATGGTCTGTAATTGTGTTTTCGACAATAAGCGTATATTTGCGTTGTAAAATGCGCTTAGACATTGACTCCGGTTATGGTAGTTCTGCTGTTCCAATTATATATATCATATATTCCAAATGTATGTATATATGTATAGCGTATACATTTATGCATGTGCATGCTCTGTTGCAGAAATATAGAAATAATTTGCATTGAAATAAAAGATTCTACCGAGTATTTAGTGTTTCAAAGTGTTGTTATTATTATTAATACAAAAATAATTCAACCAATTAACTGGCGGAACTGCAACAATGTTGCAGTGGATAATTCTAGCTTAATCAGATTTCACAACTATTAATTGTTTTTAAAACTAAGCAGGCTTTCAAACGACATTGCTATGCTAGTGAAATAGCTGTTATCTCACAAACAAGATTTGCCTCTTCTGTAATGTGTATATAGTGTCGCGCAAGTTAGACATTGCGCAATTAGTAAATTGACATTCAAGGTCAGTATGGGATTTTCCCAGACAAGAGATAAGTGTTAAACATTTTCGCAAATTATCTGAACAACTAAATGCAATGGACAAACAAAAATATGAAATTAAGTATTTCATTAGTAAGCTTAATAAATACAGACAATAAAAAAATTTGTTGCCATTGTCCTTTAAAGTTTTGAAATACCCCAAATATTCGAGAAGTTATGGCTGTTTCAATGTGCAAGATATTTGCTCCTTTAGCGGTGGATTTGCGAACTCTTTCGTGTGCGTTGAAATATATTTTACGAGGGACAAACGGGAATAAGATAAGCGAACGAAATATTTATAAATCACGACACTAGACAACTTCGAGTCGCAACTTCAAGTTTCGTGTGTACATTTTGTCCGTTCATTTCATTTTTTTTGCCTGTTTTATAGTCACTGTCGTCTACTTGACAAGTATTATTACGGTCACGGCCTTATAGGAAACTGAATTTCATAAAATTCGCAGGGGACAAGTCGCGATTTGTAGTATACGCTAACTATTTGGTGGATAATATTCTCCGATATTTACTGTATAATGTCTTGCTTTCGTTTGTTCCGATTCACAAACAGTTTAGCTAATATTTTAACTAGTATAACAAAAAGGTAGTGAAATTGCCGTAGGTGTATTCGCGTTGCAAACTTGCGAAAAAGTTAGCGCTTAACTTTGATTACCTTATGTTTGACATGGAGGCCTGGTTACCAATCGCGTCTCAACGTCAGTGTTTTAATATATGACCGTAATTCGTAATCAAAATGACGCCATGGTGCTAGCCAGTGCGCTGAGAGGCATTCACCTCCTGCTAATAGTCAAAATGGTGGACCTCCATAAGCGCACTGGGTAGGACCATGGCGTCAGCATTTTGATGATGAATCATGTGACAGCATCATGTGGCATGCAGCTGCAATGCAATGCAGGTAATCCACAACCAAATTTGTTAATTGTCTTGAATATAATACTAATATAGTGATGGGTTGTAGGAGGTATTTGAGTAGTTGTAATGAAATAACTTGCAATACTATACCAATAAAAAGTTATACACCGTAAACCTCAGACTATAAGCCCCCCCCCCC